GGTGAAATTGCGGGAAGTTGCGAAATATGCGGAAAGTTGCGAAAAAGAATAGATTTTTTTTTAAATATTGGGCTGTCTTATTTATTCTCTCTCACACACAACATGCAACTAACGTTAAACCCCTTTCCTATTCATTAAACGCATTCAATGTTTATTTATTGTGCAAGCAATTGGGCTATTTTAATCAAAATCTCTCTCTCTCTTACACACACACACACACACACACACACACACACACACACACACACACACACACACACACACACACACACAGACACACACAGACTTCTCCGCCTCATTCTGTTTTCATTTACTCGTTCGTTATCTGACCAGCTTCAATCTTGTAGGCTACTCACCTCGTTTCTTGTAACCCTCGAAAGGGTTTTGGAGGTTGATGCCTCGGTGAACGTGAGTTGTTTGGCTTTCTTGTCCGCAGCAGCAGAAAGCATTTTCGAATGTTTGAATGAATCAAAGTGGGTCGTCACCGTCGACTTTCTCTAAGACTTATGCTCCAACACACAGTTGCACGGGGTGCAGAATAGTTTCCCCCCACTTTTGTGAAAGACATCGGGGTACTGCTTTGCCCGGTCTTTAGCAGAAATGTTCGTCGGTAAATGAGATGGATCAGATTTTTTCATCTTGGTGTTTTCTCTCTCGTGTGAGTTCCACACGTTCACTCTACGATGTTGTTTACCTTCTGTGATGCGCGAGCTGATGACGTCACGTCATTATCATCACTACTTCACGAGTTAACTTTTTTTTCTTCTCAACTTTTGTGGAAAAATGCGGGGATTATGCGGTCTTTTGATAAATATGCGGCCTTTTAAAAATCTGCGCCATTTTGCTGATTATGCGGTAAATTCTGCGATCGCAGGATCGCGTTTTTCTGGAGGGTCTAAGCAGTTCAAGATAAAAGCTACAACAGTTCGAGTAAAGACGCCTTAGTTGGTTTTGGCACCTTTCTTTTTTTAAATGACTTGGTTCTCCTCAATATTTGCTCATTTGACAACAAACGAGGTCAAGTACAACTAATAACACTGTATGTTTGCTTTTAAAATATATGCAATCAGCAGAAATATCCAAAAATAATACATATCTACTGGGATTCTTTTAATACAAGTCTATATTTTCCACAGAAAAACCCATCTACTACAAAGCATTCTTGCTGTCTCAAGGTGATGCCTAAATAATAATAAAAAACTGAAGGAGAACCTTTGGATTTAAAGCCTCAATTAGCTCAAACTGATTTGCAGCAGTGACTCTGTAACAGGCACAATGTTGCACTTACCTCTGAAGCTGACGTCTTACTCCTGGTATAAATCCATCTTGCCCATGTGAGTCCACTCTGTCAGTTTGCCCGCGCTGATGCAGGACTTTCTCGATGAGCCTCGAGGATGCCAAACCTCTGTGACTGATTTGACGGAGTTTAATGACTCAATATCTTGACGAGAATGAGTAGGAAAGAAGTCCCTTTCTACAATGCCCAATGGGAGACAGGAGGGAAAACAGAGAGAGAGGGAGGGAGAGAGGGAGGAGGGTGAAAGAGGCAACACAAGAGGTTACTATTGGTCATTTGAATAGCTCTTAAATCCCCACAGGGCTGTGGCATTCCTTCCTTATTCTTCTTTGAGAATAAAAAACAGTCCATTTTACTCAAACAGCCTCATACAACACTGACACCTAAGGATGAGCCCATCTATTCTTTCAAAACATAGCCATTAATGTGGTCGACTGCCTCAAATTACAAACTGTAAAGGCTGCTAACACTCAAAGCCTCACAAAAAACATTTAGCTAGATTGAGGTGTAATGATCACATCCACAGATCAATGAGTAAAATGTCATGTCAGCAATGTGGATAAAACATCTGAGCAAAAATCTAGATTTTAAACATAGGTGTGGTGATCAAAGGCATCAAGTTTTATTGGGTGAATTCACATTCTTTGGTTGTAAAACCAAAATGATCTCTGCTCAAGTCCAATGTCCTCTGCATCTTATCAGTCACCTTTGTCCATGAGCATGTTTTCATAGAATGCTGGAAATGAAATGAACTCGCCACCAAAATCAATAAAGTACAGAATAAATTCAAATGCTTAAAACAAATGTAATGTTTTTCATCGTCATGTTATAACTCACAGCCTCATCACTGGCTTATTCTGTGAAGTGTATAGCCTTCTTGTAAAGTATGTTACAAAAGGCCAATTGAATAATTGATTAATCAATATTTTACAACTCATTTAGTAGAGCCAGGACCAGTGCTGAAATAACCTATACATTTATCATCAAAAAATTGACAATACTTAAGATACTACTTATAATAATGACTTAGTATCTGTTTACTTTTCGATTTCTGTGATTAATATTGATTCCTGGTTGGTAAAAAAAAAAATGCTATTTCAATATATGCGCTGGAAAATGTAAAGTCTGATGAAAAATGCAACTATGTTTTTGTTACGGTCACCGTAAGCAACCACATAGGTGTGTTACAGATTGATTGTGACAAAGTAGTGCTCATAATGCAAGTGCCTACCAGTCAGAACAAAACTAAAATGTTTTTATAAAACATAGTCAGCATGACTGAGTGGGAAATGTTGCTTTCAAAAAGTCCCAGGAGTACCAACGGATGTTAACGCCTCAAGAGATGTAAAAATGGACATCCTTACTCAGCAACATCTTGGTGTGAAAGCAGAGTCAGTGCTTTCGAAAGTCACAGGCTCCAAATTAAATCAATGTTCCCACAAACACACAGATGCAAGAAGAAGTACATCCAGTGATTTAAGGCCTTGCAGACCCACCCATATGTTTTCACTTCTTCTGACAGACCTATGGATAGATTAACACTGGGTGGAGCTGTGTTGGGAATAAAGTGAGATCAAAATATATTACCAATACAAAGAAGCAAGTCCGACTGCACTGACAACAGGTGCAACGGATGTCTGTGACTCAAACGCCCACACAGAGGGCTTAAACAGACAACAAGTGGACACAGGGATACATATGGGCTCTCAGTTAAAATCTTGTTTTGTCCCGTGCACACTACAACCACAAATATTAAGGAAATGTGCAAAACCAAACACACAGTCTGGCAGCCTGTATAAAGCTAAATTGGCTAACTTGTAGGTAACACTAGCGTCGGTGGTTAGTGTTAAAGTGGACGTTTATTTCGCAATCATGTTATGTAAACAGATCATTTCGCAACTTCTGCGTTGAGAATGACGATACTTGCCAGTAGTTTGTAGTTTACTACACTCACTGCTAACATTAGCCAGGTTAACCTTAGTTAGGCACACAGTTAACTGACAGACACATTATTGTAGCTATCTGCAGGTTCAGCGTCAACATGAACTAACATACAAAACATTTGAATATATCACTAGCTAACTCGCTGGCCTTCAAATGTTGCTAGTAAAAACATACAGAACCGGATGTTTAGGTGAGATTAGCTTCTGAGTCAATCTCAACAAGGCCAATATCGTTTAGGTTAGCTTACACCCCCGCCCTCGGAAGCAACTCCCTTTTAACAAGTTCAACTAAGCTAGTTTAGCTAACTTCACATAAAGGATACCACAAACATGACAAAGGGACAACGTTGGTTGACTTGCCAGAGACTTCATGAGTTTGCACCCTCTTCTTTGTTTGCTACTCCGTCCTTTTGGGTCTGTTGACAGCGGCTCTGACAACCAAAGCTAACATGTTAGCTCGCTAGCAGCGTAGTTATATCATGTGATTCAGCGGCTCCGGGTGACTCGGCTGGCGCAGCAGGAAACAGATTTCATCAGGCTGAGAGAGGGCTCTACTGCCCAGAGTGCAGGCTGACGGGCAGCATCCAGCGGTGGATGTAACTAAGTACCTTTACCCTACTGTATTTGAAGTAGTTTTCCAGAGTATTTCCATTTTATGCCACTTTATAATTCTAGTCCCGTACATTTTGGAGGGAATATTGTACACCACTATGTATTTAGGAGCTTTGATTTGGATAAGGATAAAGATATCCAGAAATATATTCACCACCCTCTTTACCAGCCTACATAATAAATTGATCCAAAACATTATATGCATCAACAATAAATATATATTATATATATTGAATTAAATACGCTAAATATCTTTTCTTGCATACTAAATAGTAGGGTAGCAGTAGTATGTGTATTTGATGGCTTAGTTTGGGTATAATCCATGAATGGCTTGTTGAATCGATCACATGTTTTTTTTTTTTTACCATTTTCTTGGTTGGTAAACACTCCAGACAGCAACATTAATAATCAACAAGCACTTAAGAAAGGAACTTTTCATAAAATACACCCTTAAGTTTTATGTTTAGTACTGAAATACTTCAAGTCTAGTGAGAAGGTATTTGTGCACTGTAGTCTTGCTACTTTTACTTAAGTTATACATCTGAATACTTCTTCCACCACTGTTAGTCGACATTTGTAAAGTACCATTAAGCTCCCCCAAACAAGTTGTAATGTTTTGGTAAAATACATTTTGTGTTCAAAAGTAAAATAGGATTTTGACATTAAACATTACAAATAACTGCCATAATAAGATACTCGTTCTATATGGCCATGGTCAGATGGGTTAGAGTGGGCACAACATTACCGATGGGTCCCTCAAATTTGGCCTCTTTGAATAGTTTATTCAGTCAAAGTTCAACAATAGGGAACAGTTTTTCCAGAAGACTAGCATAAGGTCTTATTATGTCCAGTGACCCAGAGACTAAAAATACTACAATACTACATTATTTTACACCAGCCCAATGTCTGTCATTTAAAAAAAAAATGCTGATGTCCTGCAATATTAGATGTTAAAACTAGATTTAAGACTGGACATTCTATCAGACATGGTCAATATTAAGGCAGAAAGAGATATTTCGGGTCAAAAATGCATTATGTATTATTTCAGCCAGAAAATGATCTGCTGTTGATGGTGACAGTGAATATGAAAATCTGAGCTGCCGCTAGAGGGCAGAGTCTTTGGAGGAAGAACCGGAAGTTGAAGTGGATCTACATCTTTACTTCGCCAAAGAAGAACCTGTAGCAAATAAGTCGCCAGTGGTTGTTGTTCTTTCTGCAAAATCACTGTATCTGCAACAGAAAGGAGACAATGCCTGTAATATGTGCAGCGATAGGGTGCAACAATAGGTTTGTCAAAGGGTCGGAGATCCGATTTTACAGGTGAGTTTTCACCGCTCGGACTGAGGGGAAGTTTTAGGATAACTGATCTATCAACTGCCATTTAGGAAAGGCACAGTAAAGAAACCGACATTAATACATCTGCTTTTACATCACTGAATGTCACTGACAATATTTCAACCATAAGCTAACATTCGGATTCAATTTGCGTATTGATACCATGCTGCCTCAGACTCAGCCTATACATACTAAACATGGCCTGTTGTAGCTCGGTTCATTGCTGTATTCATTTACGTATAATTATCTTTAATTGGCTCCCATGGTGTAATGTAACTCTAAATTTCCTCAAGTATTGTACTTCAGGAAAAAATGAGGTCCTTATACTTTACTTGATTATTTTCTCATGATGCTACTTTATACACTGTATCAATTATATAGAGCAACACCCCTCACAACATACTGTCAATGAGAACATGATTTACATATGTGGACAGCAGTTTGTCCAGGTGTTAAGATTACCCATTTAGATATGCTCATGTAACTGTAAAAGCATGTCAAGTTGCAAGAAAAATGTACATCATCTAAGGAGATTTTGACCTCTTTTATCTACAGTTTACCCTCAGGCTGTATCACATTATCTTAAAAGTGTTGATGGTTAAAGTCATGCATCCTCATTAGAAATCTTCGCCTCTCTCTCTCCTACGTATCAGGTTCCCGCTAAGCAAACCTCAACTTGCCAGCAAATGGGTGCACAGCCTGGGGATGAAAAACTTCACCCCGACAGCAAACACCTGCCTCTGCTCGGAGCACTTCAGGGCCGACTGCTTCAGGGACTACAACGGAAAACAGTTTCTGAGGGAGGACGCCGTGCCCACCATATTCAGCCAGGGGCAGGACTCAAAGGTGTGGTAGAGACTGTTATTCAGTAGCAGTTGGTTTGAATTCATCCTGTTTTATTTTATATAAAGCGACTAGATAATCCCAATACTCCCCAGATTGAACTTCGTAAAAGAGCGGTGGTACCAAAGGAGGCAAATGTTGTGAATCAAACGGCGACACAAGCAGACAAAGACAGAGCGAGAGACGCTGTCAGTCAACGCAGAGACCGGAGAGGAGGAGTGAGGGTGAGTTCTCTCTTACTGTGCCTGCACTGAGGGCACATTGTGTGTAGTTCAACATTTAACATATCCTATTAGTATTAATTACCCTCTGGCAGGAGGCTGCACTCCATCAGGACCAAAACCTCTCGCCACCTGGACAGTTTCATCCCCTCTGAAACCAGCCTAATCAACAAGGCCCAGGACCCACACTGACACTGACTTTTTATACACCCAAAAACATTATGCATGACATTAATGCACATCACGTGAACAATATCTTGTTATTTTTCCCTAAATACTGTGAGCCATGTTCAGGCTCGGCTCTCTGACTGCATTCTGCATATTTTTGCAAACAGCCCTCCACTTAAAAATAGAATTCACTGTAGTTTGCCATATATTGTCATAAGTGTTTTATTTATTTTTTAGCTTTTAAGGTTTTCTCTGTATAGTTACATTTAAATTAGGTGTGAATACTTATCTCTAGTATCCTTTTTTAATTCTAAATTGTTTCTTAAAAAGACTTATCCTTATATATTTCTTGCTATAATATACTATTGCAACTTATTTTTCTTCGATTGTTTTTGTTCGCATCACCAGATACCAAAGCAAACTCCTTATATGTGTAAACTTAACTTGCAATAAACTTGATTCTGATTCTAGTAGTTTCTGCTTTACCAGTCAGTGCCAAAATGAACACCCACTAGTTGAACATGTCACTGTTTTCTTAAGATAATTGTTTTAATGTTTTTTTAACTAAAATAGTTGGCTTAACATGTATATATTTTGTCACAGGGTGGACGAGGAGGCCGTGGAGGGAAACAGCCGTCTGACAGGTGAGAAACGGTGTGGGTGTTTCTGTATTCTCCCTGTTGCTCTACTGAGTTTTCATCTGTTTATCTCTACTATTCAGAGAAGTGAATAAGTGTCCTTGTAAGTGCTCTGCAGAATGTAGCCCATCACAGATTAACCTGATGCCGTTCCTTTCAGGCGCTAGTTTGCTTTGTGTGGGAATGGTTGCTGAGCCAAATTAAAAACAGCTGCTGGTGACATATCTCAGATTATTTGGGGTCTTAATGTATTTTGTGATGAATTTGTGTTCTCTGATACCAAAAACAGGCAGTTTGTGTTTAGTTGAGATATTTGAGCATAGATTTTTAATGGCAGGAAGAACTGTCCACCTGAGAAAATCTGTGAACATTTTGATGTCAGTATCTAATATGAAAGAGTAATCGCGTGTTACATGAGGAAAGCGTAGCTGTATTCAGCTTTGATTGAGAGGATGGGATACAACCCATGTGAAACAGAAAAGTGAGCAAAATATAAAATGAAATCATCTCGACCACTGATGCCACATAATTTATTACTCTGTCCAAACCATGACCACGACAACAGTCAGATGTTTTTGCCAGAATATCATTTAGTATTTAGCTATTGTTTTAGAAAAGATCTGTCAAATAAATAATGTTCCTAACGCCGGTTAAAGGACCAGGCAGTATCATTACTTATTTGTCTGACTTTGTTGTTTCTACTTATAGTCGTCCGGTTTGTTCAGTACCAGAACTCAACACAGGGGTCGCATTAGGGAGGATGTTCAAAAGACCTGTTGAGTTCAACTTTATAGATGTCTTCCATTGTCTTTAAGGAAGAAAGAAATAGAGTTCTAGTAACTAATTATGCCTATATGAAGGGAATAAGTAGTTAACTGTTGAAGCACCATCTAAAAAAAAACACAACATCCCAATCTGATTGTATCAATGCTGTAGAAATGTTCAAAGGGTACATTCTTTCTTAGACCCTGGACAGGTAAATGAGATTTATAAAATATGAATTTAGACGTGAAAATAGAGCTGTAAAGCTGTCCCATGGTTTTCACCACTCAGTAAATGTTTCTCAAAATGAATGCTCATTTTCAGACTACGGTGGTGGCCCACTGAGTTTTATAATGCAAAATGTACATTTATATTCCACTATCGTAATGTTTTACTCCCAGACATAAAACAAATATGAAACGGTAATTAAGGAGCAAACACCAGAGAGGAAAAATGCTTCAATGAAACGTATTGCTAATGTCAGTTTTTCCGCTTGTGCCTGCAGACAGTCTATTGGAGCCAAGAACAAAGTGTACGACAACAAAGGCAGACTGCTCTCCAACAATAAAGACATGTGTGACTGCCTGGATGTGGACTGTATGGGCTGCTTTTACCCCTGCAACGGGTGCAACTCTCGCAAGTGCGGGGTCGAGTGCCGCTGCGACAGGAAGTGGCTTTACGAGCAGGTGGAGGTGGAGGGTGGAGAGATCATCCGGAACAAGTTTGTTATTTAGTCATCAGAGAAACTGGGAACTCGCTTTCCTCAAATTCGGCTGCTGTTCAGTGGATGGACCATCCAACACTGGGATGCTTTTCCTGGAGAGATCTCCCACAATTTCAACTGATAATTATGAGGCCTTGCAAAGTAACTGCCCATGGTAGAAAAGTTTGCAGAACAATGTTAGCATTCGGCTGAATGTGCTTTTTTAGTTGATGCCCGGTTTCCTTCGTTCCTGTTGTTGATTTATGTACACATTGTGTATTTTTCTGGAAAGAAAACTGGTTTATACCACAAATCTAAATAAGACAACATTTTAAACACCACGATTAATCAGTATTTTTTTGGGATTTTACAGCATTATAAGCATGATGTTTTTGTTTATAAAAATGAAATATTTTTTTTAATCCCTGTCAAAGTCACACTTTTGATGTGAGTTCTGGCCTGAAAACACCTGCCAATTTTGAATCATAGTCATAGCGCCACCTACTGGCAAAAGGAAGTTACAGTTAATAACTATAAATCTGTTTAAATTCATGTCATTGAAGGTTACCTTGCATTACATAACATCAGTAATAAAATATACAATAAGCTACAAAGCAGAGCTCAGAAATGAGATGCAGCTACATACAGTAAGCTAGTTTAGGGGATGGTTCCAGTTTGTGGATGTGAGGAGGAAGTGAGGATCTCAGTGTTTTTGCAGCGTAAGAAAAAGTCCTGGCACCCATTGTGCTGAGGTCAGCTGGCAAAGACCTGCTGATGAAGACTCCAGGGAGCGGGGGGGGTCTGCGAGATGTTTTATGGAGGCCCTTTAACAAGTCAAGGCATTAATTAATTTGTCTTTAGAACCCTCCCTTTAAAATGTAATACTTTTCCATTAGGTCATTTTCTACCTGTTTAGCAGACTGGATTCACCCATCTTTAGTACTCCCCCCAACACACCGAACAAAGGCAGCATGACACAGCAGTTCATCACGCTGGCTAAAGAAAGAGTTGCAGATCTGCTGCTCAGACAGTAATGTCTCATTTATCCACATCCTGCTGTCCTTGAGGACGGCTAGGTCAAGTGTCATGCGGCGCGGGATTGCTTTGTCTTCATATCCTCACATATCCTGCTTATTTCCAGGGAGCACTTGCAGCATGGCCTGACAAATCATGATCCTGCCAAATTTGAACTTTTAGGAATTTTCACGGTAGATGTTACTTTTTTTAAAGGGCATGCAAATGAAATGCTAGGTTTCTTTGTGTTGTTAATTGTATAACTCATTTTTATACATAGCTTATTAATATTAATATACCCTGGTCGACGCACATGAGACATTCATCAATTTGTTCAATTTTCTTTTTTAAATGATGCCTTCTTTCTCATACATTATGCTGTATAAATGATGTGTATTATTCATATTAAGCACGATACTACGCATTGTTACTGTTTTATTGATTTTAGGCGTAGCATCTGTTCATTTTGTTAAGATATAGTCAAATTGAATTCTGTTTGAACCATTTATTAGCCCATAATGTTATTATGTTGAGGTTACAAAAGTTGTTTATAATAAAAATAGGATGTTTTGTAATGGAATCCTTCACGTCATTTCAAGTTTTAAGCCACAAACTTATCTCAACGACCCTTGAATGGATGCTATGAACATTACTATTTATTCATGGTCCCCAGAGTACAGCTCCTTCTCGGTTTGTTGATCTCCTGAGAGCAATGTTCATTTATTTAGTGGAATATCTTAAAATCTACAACACGGACTGCCGCAAAACTTTGTACGGCTATTCATGGTTCCCAGGAGATGAATCCCATTGACTTTCCTAAGATGTTGATCTCTAAAAGATGTGTTCCCATCAGGATGAATTGTAATCAGAATACCGTTATTCGTCCCACAGAGGGGAAATGTACATTTGTTACAGCAAGTAAAGACCAAAGATAGCTTGATATTTTTAAGAAATAATAATAGAAGTTACACAATGTACTAAATACACATCCAGTACCAGTTGTGAGCTAGCAGCCAGGTGATAGTATTTAAAACCTTGTCATTGGGTCATCATCTCAATTTGCCTACTACATTTGATAAGCTATTTTCACGACCAAAAGACATGCAATATTAGAACGGCAGTCCGATACCGCAGACCTCCGCTGAATGTTTCATAAGGTGAAATTTAATGCATGAATCCGCCCTGAGAGTTTGATCTGTCTCTCTTTCCCACCCTTCCATCAAGTTTCCTGAAAATCAGTAGTATTTTTTCCATAATCCTGCTGGCAAGAAAACGATCTAACTAACTACATTTATCGAAAGCACGTCAAAGCTCGCAGTGCCTCAGTCCCGCCTCACAAAGCAAATCATTTCGGTGCTAACACAGAAAACAGCCAATTTGCTGTGGAAATGAACTCATTACTGGATGTGTCATTTTAGTTTGATCTACCCCTCTCACTGGCTAACAGAAACACTTGCAGGAGAGTACACTGTATGTTGGTTTGCCCATTTAGAGCTTTCTGTGCTTTAACAGCTGTTAATCAAAGACAGCAGTGATAATAATGTGCTCTGGACGGTGCTGAAAAAAACATTTAAATACAAGTATTTTGTCCTTAGTTTTTATAAAATCCATCTCAAGGAAGAATACATCAAAGCCTGACACAAAGCCATCCTCTACATCAGGGGTCTCAAACTCAAGGCCCGGGGGCCAAATCCGGCTCGCGACTTCATTTTATGTGGCAAGGCGCGGACTGGGACTACAAACCAGCCCGGGACTCTCGACCGTTCCACTTCTGTACCACCGGCCCACCTCGGTACCGCAAGTAAATACCGCTAGTGAATTGACGGGGGGACGGGTTCTAGTGACTTATCCGACCGGCCCACATCGTCCGACCGGCCCACTTCAGTACCGGGCCCGGCACATCGGGATTCGTCCCGAACGTCCCGATGGCCAGTCCGCCCCTATATGTGGCCCCACAAGAGCTTGCAAAGAATATAATACGTTCATTATACGGTTACATGCCACTTTACAGAAGCAGGTTGCCCATAAACTACATGCCCCACAATGCATCTCGTTTTGTGACATGCGCACTGAAGAGACTTGCAATTATTTGCCCTGGACTTCTGCTTTCAGACGTATTAATTACTAAGTTATTATCCTATCTGATAATAATCCAATTCAGAGGCAATAATGTAATATAATACATTATTTTATATATATATTATATATTTATATAGTTACAACCCGCCCTTTGAGTGCAACGTTTATGCGAATGTGGCCCGTGATGAAATTGAGTTTGACACCCCTGCTCTACATGAACGCGTCCAGTTCTTCCTTCCAGCAGAGAGAACGACTCGTCCGCGAGCACGATTAAATGTCTATCTAAATCTTGGCTTCGGCAGTCAGGAGAGAACATGAACCTCCAGGGAGCTGCTGGATGAAAACATTTTTCTGCTATTAACGAACACCAATGACCTGAAATCTGTCAGCGAAATCCAGACTGCAGTGTTCACACTGAGTTGGAGAGGTGACAGAAGAGTCTGTTAGGAGATGAAAGGCTGAACCAGAATCTATGAACATCAGGATGAGAAGGTCCAAGGTCCGTGTGGATGTTGTCAGAGAAGATGAAGTAATGTGGTTGTTCCATATTTCACTCCTAAAAAGATATAAGGAAGTGAACAAAAAAAAGTGACTATAATTAAAGCTACAATACTAGAAGTTACCCTGAGGCTGATATACATTTTCCAGCAGTTTTGACACACTATTTCATTGCAATTGATCACATAAGGGTTGAAGTATTTTAGTCTGGACCACAGGATCAACAGCCTGAGAGCTAAAAATGTAATATTGTAATGTCCAGATTTTTCAAATGACTTTCTCGGTTTAATATCATTTTTGGGTGTATGTATTTTTTTCTAATTTCTATAATACTTCACTTTGGGCAATAATAGCTTGCATTGGTAAATCTTCCCTTTTTAAAAAACAAAACACATGATCAGGCAAAAGAAAAAACGGTACCAAAAAGAGTTTACGAATAGTTTGTAATTAATCTATTAATTAGGTTGTGAACTTTATAAATCACTAATAAGCTTTTATAAGACATGAGATAAACAGGGTGACTGTGACCGGTTGCTTGCCAAATAGTGAGCCCAGATTTATCTGTTCTCGTTAATAAATGGGAATATGTTTTACACTTTACAATAAGGCTCCCCTTCTGCAACTATAAATGTTAGTAACTCATAAATAAATGGTCGTAAAGAGATGCCAAGAAACATCAAGATGGATGGGGGGAGAATCAACTCAGTGAACAACAGATACCAAGGATGCTGGCTGATGAAGAAGAAAAAGTAAGCAAAGTAGCCACTATAATGCTTAGTCATCTTGCCAAATAGTGTGTGTTGATGTATGAAAACTATGTTAGAACTGGTTTATAAATGGTTCTTAATGATTAATAAAGTCTTTACAACCTAATTATAAGCCCTTTATGAACCCTTTATAAGGGTAGTCTTATTGTAAAGCGGTACCGAAAAAACTCTTGATACAGCAGATAATTAATTCCATCACAAACTCTGTAAGTGTGATAGCGGTTGGTGTTTTTCCAATGCCTTTACTTGCTATAACTATATTGCTTTCTCACAATGTTTTAAGTCATATCTATCCCACACTCCCTCTACCCCAGCATGCTTGTGTTAAAGTAAGAAATGTGTGTGTACAGGGTAAAAAAGCAGCAGTCCACCTCTACCTGCTGGCTCGTTCTCCTCCTCTACACGAGCTCAATTCATCGCTCCATGTACTCTAAAAAACAAAGAAGTGTTGAATGAATACTTCAGCTCCCTCTGTCATATATTCTCTTACTGAACTTCCACTTGCCTCAGTATGCTGCTGTCTTAAACTACACTTGAATGTACTCACACCCGCCTCTTGTTTCTGTCATTGATCATTCTGTCCCACGTTCTATCGTTAATCATTTCATGGATTGTGTCACTTGTTAGGGCCCTTTGGCTTTGACCCCTGTGCTACCGGCTGGCTCACATACTGATACCCTTTAATATGTGTTCTCCAGTGTGCACAGCTGACATCCATCTAAATGAGACTTTATACAAATGTGACAGTGTTAAGTTAATCTCTTCTTGTTATCGATAGTTTGAAAGAATCAAGATGTCTAGTGTATGATGAATTATAAAAAATGTAGGATCTACTGCTTCCGGAGCCTTAGTGACATCAGGGATAAAAGTCAGACTATCTCGCATCAAGCAGCTTTGATTATTACCACTCTGTCTATCATGTGTCTATTTTGTGATTCCTTCGTCTTTAAAACGTCAATGTTCTATATTTAATTTAATATTCCATCTCTATTTGGTTTTACAGTAAACATTTAATTCTAAAAATAAATCACAGCATGTTTATTTTCTCAATAAGACTAATATTGACAACAATTATAATGGATGAATCTGACTTAAATGCTGTCCACACTAAAGAATATGTATGGTTGGGATACAACTGTTGCCAAGTCACTAGAATGTAGGTAATGAAGCTCTTCTCATTTGAATGAGTGAGTTGTCTGTCCTCAGGGGCTTCAGGTTTATCAATGTCTCCGGACTAATAAAATGTCATGCTAAAATTCTTCTGACTCAGGAGCTTGACCTGCTTTTGGCTAAAAAAACAAGCCTGCAAACCGCAGAGGGGTAACAGCTGATATATCATTTAGTTCATTTCTCTGCAAAGATGCTAATCATTAAAACATTTCAGCAGAACAGCTGCGGTTTGGCTTTTGTACCATATAAAGGTTTTTTTTTCTATTCGGTTTGAGTGCTTACACTAATCTCTTTTAAAGAGAAAACAAACAATAAAGTCTGCTAACTGGTCCGGTTGATTAACGGACACATTTGGCTACATAGCATATTTCACAAAACCTTTAACATGAGAGCAGAGTTTAACATCATAGTGACAGCATCATCAGACAAAAGGGCCTATTGCAATAATAAATTGTTGTGGCAATTTAGCACTCACAACAGGAAAGAATGAAAGAGAGAGGGATCAATAAAACACAAACACAGGTATCGTTGATCAATTATTATTTCGTTGTACAACAATCAATAATAACGAGGAAAACATTACCTCTGCTCTCAAGCAGTCCTACAGCAATGCTGCCAAGCAGTAGAACTTTACAGAAACATATATAGGATTCTAAAATGACGCACACACATTTCCTTACATTAGCTAACACAGAATATCACATGTTCTGCCTCTGAATGCTATACTTGTATGTTCCAGATGTCGAAAGTTTACTTATCTCATGACATCCTTTAGGAGTAGTCAACTAACAAAGGTTAACTGTTTTTATAACCTGAGGCCTTCTCTGAACTTCCTCTAACTGTCAGCTCACTTAAAATGAATACTATCTATTGATAATTCAGAACAACCATTGTCTCTCTAACTCTGTGTGACCCAACTCCGTAACACACATCATATAGCTTATACCATGTGACATTAAATGAATATACCAGAAATACGCTGTATTAAACTTTCTGCTATAACAAGCTCAAGTGCAGAAACAAGACATTTGAAATAGTTTTATGAAGAGAGAAGAATGGAGCTTTT